GTTGTCACGCTAGGACAGGAAGTGTGTTACTGGCAGGATCACCAGGGGGAAATAAAGAGAAGAATGGAAAGTAAGGCAGAAATCTAAGGACGGCTAAGCTGCAATACATGACGTTGGTCTTGGTTTGTATAGGAAATCATATTACCTGTGTTTAGGAGATTTCACTTCAGTTCCTGTCCAGTAGATGCAACAGGAAGTGAGAGGAAATTTCTACATAGAGGGGAGAATTTCACCAGGGCCAGTGTCCCCATTGGAAGATTTTCCCTCACTTCCTGTTTTGGTGTCCCGGTGTGACTGCACAGTATAAATTGGGGGCACCAACAGCGATGATAACTGGGAGCAATCACAATACTAACCCCCCCCCTCCCCCCCCTCGCTGGCATCGCTCCAATGTTATCAGTACACACTTTGTTCAGTGGCACCAACCCCTGAAACATGTTGTATTGATATGAGTCTAAATAATATGGAGTGTGAACTTTATACCGCTTTCCTCCTTGCACACCAGGCAATTAAAACCTGCCAGGGGTCCCCATCCTTCTCCACTCCACCTAGGGTTGCCACCTGTCAGGGATTCACCCGGACAGTCCGGTTTTTGAGCCGTGTGTCCGGGTTTTCCTGGCCAGCTGACACCCGGACACAAGACACTGAGTGCTGATACCGGCACTTTAAATTTTTTGACAGATGCTGCTGCCGGGGGTCCACAGCAAGGGCGGGACCTCAGGCAGCCGCATCCGCCTGAAGCTTCAAAAAAAAGTTTTCTGCCAGTCTCCTCCTCTGCCACGCTGCCCGCCTCCGGACCCCTGATGAGACACCGCAGAGCCCACCTGAGAGAACGCACAACCCACCTGAGACCCTGGAGACATCAGGGCGCCACCCGGAACAACACAGAGTATGTCGCTTCCTATTACTTTGTATTGCTGGGATTTGTAGTCCTCTATAGACGGTCCCCTTACTCCCTCCCTAGTTGTCTCTCCTCTATATTCTCCACAATGTGAGTTTTCGGGTGTCACAGAAAAGGTGGAACCCCAACTCCACCCAAAACTAGAAACACTCCCCGCCCCCT